AGTCAGCCAAAGTTGAGTTAGTGGAACTGAGGCAGGGCGAAGAGTCAGGAGCAGAGCAGAGGACCAGGAGAGAGGCCAGGTATGAAAGCAGGGCTGGGGCCAGAAACCGGGAGCCTGGCAAGGTATCAGGAGTGTGCAGCAGGGTCTGTTTAAAGAACCAAGCCAGGTACCTGTCTAGTTGCACAGACAACCTCTAGGTGTTTTCCCCACACCTTAAACAGCATTCTTGGGACAACCAGGGAATGCCCTAGGCACTGCCAGTCAGGACCTCTGTGGGCGGGACAGCCGGTGGTGCTTGAAACTTTACGGCCCATATGCTGTTGTTCCTTGCTTTGGCAGTGTGGACAGGGCAGCTGCCCAGGAACTAGGAGATCTGGGTTCTAGGACTACAGAGCTTCCCACACAGTTATTAAACTCAATAATAAACATCTTGGGCTAAATTCTCTCCTGATGAATGTATGCCACTGCCCTGCAGATGGGATTCACCCCTAGAGAGACAGGTGGTGTTTATACTGCAATCCTCCCTTGGGGACTCCACCAAGGGACAGCAGCTTCCATGTGGGTCTCTGTAGGAACCACCCACATGAAGGGGGATCACCATGACTGTACAAACTCAAGTCATGCTCCCACCCCAACCAGAGCCAGTCAGGTACAGGCTACCTCCGAGAGGAGGGGTGACAGCTGCCTTCCACGGCCACATTCCTCTGCCCACTCTCCTAGGGCCGGCAGGGTTGCTAGTGGCAAGGACCCTAATCTTTGGGTTATACCAGGGACAAGTCTGGCCTTTTTTATTAGAAACACAAGTTTCAATCATGTTTCCATTGAGGGCAAAGCTTCCCCTGATTTGCAGGAGCACAAGATTTAACCCACAAGAGCTCAGATAAAAACGTGTGAACCGCCCCTGGTTTTCCACCCAGCATTCGTGTTTCTACGAGGCATTAAAATTAACCCCTTATTGATTCACAAGTGGCCCTGGCGACCCACCAGTTTTGTGGGCACATCAGCAAGGAAGGAGGTAAGGAAACATCTGAAACCACCCACCAGAGTTCCATCGCTGCAGTACAGATTTATTCCTCACACACTGCATCCCTGCCGCACCGCCCAGAGTTAAATAAACACAGCTCTGAAATTTCAAAATAATAGCAGAGGAAGCGAGAGAGAAACCAAGAGTTAGAGGGAAGGAGGAAAATTTATGCTTTCAGCTGAGCTCTAAAGTGAATTGGAGCATTGATGAGGGGGAAGCGAGAGTGGAATGAAGTGCCCTTGTGCAGTAGCTACCCTGTTTCCAACCACAAAAGGGAAAGAGGAACAGATTGGTTCAAAATCGCCCTTCTTGTATTTATAGCCTGTCCCTTCACACCTTGCCTTACTCTGGACTCTACCTGCTCTGCTTACGCAGCCTCGAACTCCTGAACCACTTCACATGGTCTAGCCTCTTTGGATGAGAAAGCCTCTTTCTCTGCAGGATCTATCACTTAGAACAGCCTGTATGCATTTATCACGCACCCATCTCCATGGGCCAATTATCTGATTTCGAAAGATGGGGGAAACTGAGGCGCACGCAAGCTAAATGGTCTGTTCAAATACAAACAAGCAGCATGTGGAAGAGCCAAGACAATAACCAAGATCATTCCTTCTACTCCTCCCCATTTTAACAATCTTTTGGTTCTTTCTTAAGTGCATCACGAGACACATCTTTTCCTCTTAATTCGCTCTCCCTGTGCTCCTATTATTTAAGCTCTACGTTACTTAACTCTCCAATATGTTTCGAGGTACAGTTTGCAGGAAAGACAAACTACACTGAATAAAATTGTATCTTCTGTTTTAATTTGTTTCAGAGGCTAATTACCAGTTTTATTGGGTTTCTGAGCATGAACATGTACTGCATTTTATATCTGGCACAGCTGTGTTGCAGAAAGTGGTCCTTGGAGTATAAGAACTTCTGTATTTTGTTTTTAAAACAGTTGGGGAACGGGAGATAACAGATGATAGCCGTGCATTAAATAGGTTCCATCTTTCATCCTTATCTTTTTCCCAATGTCAATATATAGATTTTCCTGGTAGTCCTTCCCACACCAGTTACACATTTTCAGACAAAGAGGATGAGGGGTAATAGTGACCCAAATCAGTAAATGACCACTTCTGAGGATCTCTTAATACACCCACACTGGAACATTATTCCTGAAGTGAGAGAGAGTTTCTAAAGCATAAGTGTGTTCAAATGGAGCAATCTGAAAAGAGGCCCTGGCCTATTTCTGTTCTGCACTCCCAGGAGGGGAGTAAAGGCTAGCGATTGCAATCCGCCTACTGCACAAGAAATAGCCTATGGGAAAAGAGAAGCTCCACTTTAGGTTACTGCAAAGATTTATCTTGTTTAGAAATGTTATAGTTGCTCAGATCAGGGTTAAAACATGAGCGAATGCAGCTTGAAATTCAGAAAGCACTTGAAGTCTGGGAGAATTAGGAGAGTGCCTTTTTGGGCAGCAAACTAATGAGGTGAAAAGTGATTTGTATGCCTCCCTGTGAAAACAGGTAACATCATTCCACTTTACCACCTGCATAACGATTAATCTGAGCCCTACAGTAATGGTGTTGAAATGAACGACTCTTAAAGAGGCATTAGCGGGATTATAACATCTTTGTTGTTTGTGTTAAACCAATATTTAATAATCCCCTCCTTTAATGGGTCATTACAAATTAATTTGAAGAGTTCTGCAAATGTGTTCAGACACGTCTGAATGAATTCATGGGGCAACTGCTTATCATGAAGCATGTACCCACCAACATCTGCAGAAGATCTTTTGAGACAGTGCATTGAACAGCAATGGAATCTCTTTGAGATTGATCCAAAACCCATGAGAGTGAATGGAAAGACTCCCATTAACTTCAATGTATTTTAAAATAAGACCCTCAGTCCCTGAAGCCTTAAAAACAGATCTGAAAGTTGAGAGTTAGTTGAAAAATTCTTCAGTTGGACAAAATAAAAAATTCAAAACTGGAAAAAAAAAGTTTTTCAGTTTGTGTTTTTTTCTCCTCTCCCCCTTTTCACTGGAAAAATGGAAAACCGGGGTGGTGGTGGCGGGGGGGAAATGGATGGGAAATAAAAGAGAAAAATGGAAACAAATTTTAAAAATACATTTTCAGGGTTTGGGGTTTTTTTGAGAAATGGAAACCATTGAAAAAAGTCAATGAAAATTTTCATTTTTGAAAAATAAAATTGTGGTTAGAAAAAAACCCTCTTCTTTCTGAGCAAGACTTCTTCTTTCATATGCATCACAAGTCGATATCTAGATCACCAGCCCTCTGACTGCTCCTTCATTGGGGATAGGAAGGTGTTGCAGTTCACCTTTCAATATTCTAATTGCCACCACCATGTTAGATCATCTGCGTTGCTGCCCCGCAGTCACACTGTGAAGATGGGCTAAGCCAAATTTCCGCATTCTGGCAGCTGCTCTGCCATTCCAGTCAGCAGCTTGTTAAATCTAGTCCAGGATCTGCGTCCCAGGCTGCAAACAGGTGGATGTAAGTTAGGGCTTGTGAAATTCATCAGCACGCCTGCCTCTCTATCCCAGAGCTTGTGGCACCTTAGAGACTAACCAATTTATTTGAGCATAAGCTTTCGTGAGCTACAGCTCACTTCATCGGAGCTGTAGCTCACGAAAGCTTATGCTCAAATAAATTGGTTAGTCTCTAAGGTGCCACAAGTCCTCCTTTTCTTTTTGCGAATACAGACTAACACGGCTGCTACTCTGAAACCTATCCCAGAGCTGCTATCCCTCTGTGGGGACATAGCTGTTGGCACTGAGATGCCACTCTTCACCCGAGATTCAGCAGTGCAGGATATCAGTGTGCGAACAGCTGCTGCAAAAGGGTAGCATACAGTCAGTCGTGGCGAGTCAGCAGGAGCTGCAGGTGGAGGTGTTTTCTTCCGGAGGCGGGCAGAACTTCCTGTAGGAAGTGTGGGCTACTTATTTGCACATATCGGAACCACTGTCAGCCTTGCGTGCCGCAGCTTGTTTTCATCCGTCACAGCGCTCCATGGAGTTATAAGGGTCATGGCACCCCATCAAAGTCTGGGGGGAGCTGTTCTGAGTCAACACACATAAATTAAAGGTTAATGTGCGGCTAAGGCAACCACTAATGATACGGGTGGCTGTGTTCACCTCCAAATCAAGGAGATACGCATGCCGTTCTCTGCCCCAAACTGCTGCATAATATTTCGCCGGAGCGAACACCACCCCCAGGACTGCACAACGCTTGCTTCTGCTCCTGCTCGCCTCTGGATCAAGACAGTGTAGAAAGTGATCTTTTAAAGTATTCTACATGGGACCGGTATGTTAGACTGTGGTCCAGTCTGATTCCTAAATAAGTGACAACTGGCTGGAAAGAGAATAGACAATCCTCAACGTTGTCAGCATCACGACCAGGATGTGGGCAGTCAGGCCTAATAGTCGGAGCCATGGGGGTGGCCAGACTTGGAGGTTAAAGAGGAGCTGAGCCAAGATGGAATCAAGAATCAGGACCACAGGACACCCCGGGGCTTAGCCAAGAGCAGAGGTGAGGGTCAGAGCCAGGGATCAGAAGCCGAATGCCAGAGCCAACGAGTGAGCTGGAGCTGGGGTTGGGAAGTGGAACCAGGCACGGAGCCAAGGGTGTCAAGGAAGGGGAAGGCAGGAACTGAAGTGGGCACAAGAGCAAAGTGGGTAGGAAACGGGATCGGGTGTGGAAGCGTTGAGCAGCTGCTGAGCTCTGGCTGCTGCTGGCTCCAGAAGTAGCTGAGCTCTGCCCCTCTACCACTCAGGCAGCCCCGGCCCGCGCTGCGGGGTCAGCGATGTGCAGAGAGGAGACTGACCTGGCTCCCTGACAAACACAGGGGTTGAGTGGCCAGGTGACTGTGCAGGTGAAAAGCTGTGGCCACTGACTTGCACTGAGTCTAAAGGTAAGTGGCCAGAGAATTCATGTCCTGGCTGAGTGACCCTGCACTGTCGTGCCGCTCATTACCCACATCTGCATACATGTACTGAGCTGGTTTTTTTGTTTTGTTTTTCTGGTTTGAACCCTTTATTGGGACATGCTAGCCATTCACGCCGTCTTGGTAGCCCGGGTTCTCTTCTTCTTCACCACCACTGGCTTCTGGCTCCGCAGGATGGCGTGGCGCAGAGCGGCCTTGCGCAGATCCCTGCGGTAGTTGTTCTTGCGGATGACGTGGCGCAGGCTGCTGAGCGTAGCCCGGGCGTTCTTGTTAACGGTCGTCTTCTCATAGGATGTGGCTGGGCTGCGCTGGCCTGCCCGTTTCTTCAGCACCACCATGATCCTCTTCCCGTCCGCCGCGGGCTCCACGCCCACCGTCTTGCGATGGATCAGCCCGTTGTAGAGGAAGGAGTTTCTGGCCTTCAGGTTGTTCGGCTCGGTGCTGTAGGTCGTCAGCTTATACGTTGAAAAGGAGAGGAGCTGGAACAGATCCTTGCGGGAGTCTGTTACAGAAGTGCCTACGCTGGCTGACTTTGTCTCCAAGATGAGACACCAGTTTGTTACTATTTCCGTGATCCACTGTCGCACGGGTTTACAGAGACTGGCCGGCAACACCTTCCTGGTTGGCCCCACGTACCAGACAGCATCACATGCAGCTGACACATCGACAAGAATGGCGCTGCCCTTCCTGTCCACCTCAAAGGCATCTTCAATGTCTTGTGTTAGGTGGGTGACTTGATCTTGGGTACACCATCCTCACCTGAAGCCAGCCTGAACAAAGGGCTCAATAACCTCATTGGTGCACATCATAAGCAGTCTCTCCATAAGCTTATATGTGACACAGAGGAGAGAGATAGGTCCACCCATCTCTTTTGCGAGGGCGCCAGGTGGGATATCGCTGGGAAGTGCCTAAGGGCAAAGGCAGGTGGTCTCTGATTTGCGACCAGGATGCGAACATGATTGCAAGCACCCTACAGAGACAGGACTGTTGCACTAACTGCCTCCTTCGCCCCGCCGGGCAAACGTCACCCCCCTTGCAATAACTCATTCGGAGTTTGGGGAGAAGGATTGTTTGTTATTAACTTGCAACTGACTAAACTCAGTCAAGATATAATTTGTAACCATAGGAAACCTTTATTGGAGTTGGGCTCACATTATTTTAGCAAGAAGAACATCAGGGAATAAGTACATCGTACTGGCAAACCGCCACGGCCGCCTTCCCTTCCAGAACTCATATTAAGATGCTGGCCCTTCACTGTTCAGAAAGCAAAGGCCACGGATTTATTTTACAACACAGACAGCCTTAGCTCTACATGGAGGAGAAAAAACAAACTGGTAAAGTCAGGACGTATACTCCCACTTGATCCCCACAAGCAGACCTGTGTCAACAGGGACTAAATCCCCACAGTAGTTGGAGGGGAATGTTAGGGGGGACCGGATGTCAGCTGCCAGTGTATGTCGACAGTGCTGCTCCATAAGATGGGAATCCTTATCTGTCTAAATGCTAACAATACACCTCTCACTTATATACTGTATCACTTTTCATCCATAGATCTCAAAGCACTTTTCAAAGGAGGAATGATTTTAGAGATGTGGAAACTGAGGCACATAGCAGGCATGTGACTTGTCCAATGGCAGAACTAGGAACGGAACCCAGGGCTCCTAAGTCCCAGTCCAGTGCTCTAGCCACTAAGACACATTGCCTCCTATAAGAACTAGCCCACTAAGCGAGCATACCCCTGTAATGTGGCAGAGTCCTCTAAGAGTTGGGGAGGGAAGATGCTGATTTAGTGATATACTGGACAACAAAAACCCTTTAGTTCTTTCACGTATGGAGTCCTGTTACTGTAACAGAAGCTGAGCAAGCACATGGGATGAAGGATGCATGGGAATTCTGGGTAGACCTACCCTTAGGCAGTAGGTGCCTTTTGACTTCCCATTTCTATAAGACAGTATCAGAGGCATTGCTCCTCCCAGATCACCCCTGAACCTGCCTATTCCTAGAGAGATGGTATAGAAGAGCAGCTTCCTTTTCAGTGTGGGTCTCACTCTGGAGCCAAATAATCCTGTCTCTGATCAACCCATACAATGGGTCTACCACTGTGACAGTTACAGGGCAGAGTGCCAGACCCACACCAGACATTCAGGGAAGAATTTCCTTGGGAATCCAAAAAAGCACATACCATTCAATTCTGCCACTAATTCTGGTGTAATTCCCATATCTGAGGATATAGCATGACACGCTGTATTGGCTTATGCCCTTTCCATCCTCAACATATTGTTAGGTGAGGGGAAAGGATTAGATACTTTCGGCCCTAGACTGCACTGGAGGCCATTTTATGCAGTACAAACACACCACAAAAGGCAGCCCCTACCCCACATAAGTGTTAACAATCGCTTGAAATTAATACGGGCATTTCACACCGTTCAGAACGATTGTTTCAGGCTGTAGGCAGACTCGGGCAGACATAGCTGCATCAGTTTACACTTGGGTCACGTTCCACAGGTTTGCTTTGAAACCAAAAGGGCTAAAGACATTTTGTGTATTTTTATTAAAGCTGAGATCCTGGAAAACAGAAGGGCAGCTGCCATAAAAAAAGTATTAATTCCCGGAACTACTACAAAACAGCCCAGTTCAACCCCTGAAGTCAACAGAGTTCAACTAGTTTAACGTGTGTGTGTGTGTGTGTGTGTGTGTGTGTGTGTGTGTGTGTGTGTGTGTACGGGACGACAGAACTAGACCCTTATAGAAAAGTTTAAAAAACCTGACATAAGAAAAGGTTACAACTGGGCATGTTTAGTCTTGAGAAAACAAAACGGGGGGGGAGGGAGGGGACCTGAAAACAGTCTTCAAATATGTTAATGGACGTTATGAAGACGGTGATCAACTGCTTTCCATGTCCACTGAAGGTAGGACAAGAAGAAATGGGCTTAATCTGCAACGGAGATTGAGGTTAGATATTAGGAAAAACTTTCTAACTATAAGCATAGTTAAGCACTGGAACAGGCCGCCTAGGGAGGTTGTGGAAACCCCGTCACTGGGAATTTCTAAGCACAGGTTGGACAAACACCGGTCAGGGCTGGCCTTGGTTTACTTGGTCCTGCCTCAGCACAGGGGGCTGGACTGGAGGACTTCTCAAGGTCCCTTCCAGCCCGACATCTCTATGATTCTATGAATACAAACCCCTGCAGTGATACCAAGTAGGACAATCTCAAAGGGGATCAGTCCTTGGCTTTCAGGGTACACACTGATCCCCAAATAAGGAGAATGAAAGTGACTTTTCCTTTACTTTATACACATGAATTTTAAACCTTACTAAGACGCATCAACTCCATATCACCACTGGAGACAGCATGCTTGTCTAGGTGGGCCATTGGCCTGTTCCAGGATGGCAGAGCCTCTCTTCCTATTAACTGTAGTCTTTCCAAATGCTTTGCAAATCTATGTTAAAAAGCCTCAGTACTTGGATAAACTGACACCGTCTAGATTCTATAACCCAGGGCACCGAGACACAATTACACGGTGTCGAACAACAAGCTTTGCCCTCCCTTGTGAAGCTCATAAAATTACCAATTTCATGGTTGATTTTCCTCTTTGCTCTTCTCTGCCTCTAACTCGAGTCTTCCCCACCTGTTCACATATTCTGTGCCGGAGAAGAGCACGCTGTGCCAGGGACTTTGAAATAGTCTCAAGCTACACAAGGTCTTTCTTCATTACGATGGAAATATCCCTGCAGTTTGCTCCGCTCAGCACCCCCCAGTCATTTCCTTTCAAGCGTGCTGCAGAGCGCCCCGTGCCATTCATTGGCAGATCCGACGGCGTCATCCTTTTGGCGCATTGAGCATCAGGCTGTGTACGCAGCCATTCAAAGCCACCAAATGTCCCCCACCAAATGTCCCCCAAATGTCATCGCATTACACCCTGCATAGCAAAATTAGCAGCTCACTCATTTTCTGCAAGTTTTCCCTGGTTCTTAGGACCCAGGCATCCCTTGGCATTATTGTCTCTCATGAGCTGCTTCTAGCCTCATTCCCAGCTTTCGTAATCTTAATAACTTTAACTGAAGGAAGGAAGATGAAGTCAAACTCCCAGATAATGGAAACCCTTACAAACCCCTGCTGGTAGCTTGTCCTGCTTGTCTTTGCAGTAGCCTGTGCGACTCTCAAGGCCTGATCCTCATTGACACCAAGACCCCTTTACGCTGCTCTGGCAATGTAAAGGCTCACTGAAGTGGGCATAAATTATACTTCTCCAATTAAGATCCCATTTCATTGCTGGAGCCATGTAAAGTAAATATAAAGCATAAGTCAGAGCCAGGCCTTCACTTTCCCGTTGTTTCCCCACGAATGCAAGCGACAGGGTTCAGATTTTCACTCGCTGTTTATTGATTTCATTGTTGTTTTACTCCATGCTGACTGCTGAAAGCACCAGAGGAGATCAGTAGCCCGCATAGATTAGCTGCTAGCCATATATTTGGAGTATCACGAGTGTAACAGATAGACATGCTAAGGAATGAATTCCATCCCCAATACAATTCACTCGTAAGTCCATGAATGCGGAAGGGAAGAGAATGACATTGCTAAGCGCTGTTGAGATAGAAACATCATCACATTTTAATAAAAAGCACCTAGGATGCCTAAACTGCATGTGTTTCATTTCACATCCCCGCTGTGCTATGAATGAGATGTGAAAAACTAGCTCCACATTAATCAAAAGTTTCAGGTATTCATTGTGGGCCATCAAGAATCTACTCAAAGGGAGAATGGGTAGGATCAATCATGCACGGATTTCCCATGTTGGGCTCATTTTTATTTAATGGTACAGTTCTCTAAGTCATACATCTCAGGTGGCTTCGCTTTAAGGTAGCGTAGCTTAATGTTTATAGCAACAAATCTGATAATCAAATAGAGTCTGGAAAATGACAAAGTGTTTATTTTCCTCGCATGAGGAATTCTTATAAAGCAGCTGAAACATTCCATTTAAAAGCCATTTACATGGTGTTGCTTGGGGTATTGTCATAAATCAGGGGAAGTATCCTTCTGAATAATTTCATAGGTCTGCCTGCCAAAAAATAATCACAGGCTGGAATTGTCTCTTCATGGCTTTATGAAAGAGCGCCAAATGCTAAGAGTAGGGGTTGAGCAGACCCAAAAAGGCCTGGACGTTTGGGGCCCAGATCCTGAGAGTCATTTAAAAGGTATGTGCGACTAGTGCCAAATCCTGACCGTGATGAATGCAAATTGGCCAAACTCTGATCCCCTAATTCATATGAGTCATTCCCATTGGTGTCAATAGGGCTACTCTCAAGAGTAAGGCAAACTGGATTCTGCCCAGTGTCAAAACCACCAGAGTATTAATTTAGTTGAAAGCGGTTTAACCATAGAGCTATATCGCTCCTCAGCAAGCCACAATACTCTCTAAACAATGTTTTTAAATAAACAAGTCACTCAGTCATGCTAGAACCAAACAAGGAATATGACATAAAAATGAGCGCTTAAAGTGCCATCCCAAATAACCGGCTAAATGAAGAACCTTCTTTGAGGCTTGAATAATTGTGATTAATTTCAGACCCGGCTAAGGGCTGAGATTTGCAAAGTTGCCTAGGAGGGGGGTTGAATGCCTAATTCCCTTTAAATGTGATGTACTGGAGAATACTGGAGCTTTCATTAGAAGTTCTTGTTAGAATCATAGAACTGGAAGGTTTCAGAGGAACAGCCGTGTTAGTCTGTATTCGCAAAAAGAAAAGGAGTACTTGTGGCACCTTAGAGACTAACCAATTTATTTGAGCATGAGCTTTCGTGAGCCACAGCTCACTTCATCAGATGTGTACCGTGGAAACTGCAGCAGACTTTATATACACACAGAGAATATGAAACAATACCTCCTCCCACCCCACTGTCCTGCTGGTAATAGCTTATCTAAAGTGATCAGCAGGTGGGTCATTTCCAGCACAAATCCAGGTTTTCTCACCCTCCACCCCCCATCAAAAGGTCATCTAGTCCAGTCCCTTGCACTTGTGGCAGGACTAATTATCTAATTATTATAATGTATTTGTAGAATGTTTTCTTGTTAGCCTTTATTGTCTCTACTTTGTTTGAGCTCATTTTGTGCCTTGGCCTTCCACTCCAATTTATAGGCCAAAAAAGCTTGGGGAAGTTTGGAAAAGTTTTGAAGAAGCAGCAAGAACTTTTGGAAGGTTGTCCAACCCTCCAAGCAACTGCGGGCTAAGATGCACCAAATAAAGCAATGCTTCAGGATGAAGAGTTAATTCATAAGGAACAGGTCTGATCCCTTTGCCGCGAGAGGCAATGGCTAACCTTACCAGTCAGTCCGTCTCATAAGGCGTTGTTCTCCAAGAGGCATCTAAAAATTGCATGAAACCTGGACAGGATCCAGCACACGATTGGATCAGATTCAGGACACACTCCATGAACCAAATACACACTTTACTTACATTGTAAGCTCTTTGGGTCATTGTATTTGTGCCTAGGCCTGAATCCCTGATTGCAGCCTCCAGTTACTACCGCAACATAATACCTAATAATTTCTGGAGTAATTCCAATCAGTAAGGCACACCGGGAATGAATTTGGCCAGTATCTTTAGAGTTTCAACCATCCCATTTGCTACTGGCTGCTCCCAAACATAAAGCTAACAAACCCAGTCACTTTGTTTCGCCGACATCTTATCTATTTGGCATGATGTACTTTTCGGTATCATGAAATTGCTCTGCCTGCCAAGAACGTATGCCAGTGAAAGGAGGAATTAAAGTGATAAGAAGTTGCGAAGAGCTGCAGAGCTGGTTGGAGGAAAGTGAAGAAAGTGCAGCTTGGTAGACACATAAAAACAAGGCTACGTCAACAGAACAACGGGACTTAAGTAGGTCTACAGACATTGTAGGACAATACAATATATATTGTTAGCTGGAATGCACCTGCACAGAGCAATCACTGTCCATGTTTTGATAAGAGACTGTTAAATGCCCACTCCCGTAAACACAAGTCACATTTTGTAGAGATACGAGTTTTAAAACTCACATTAAAATGCCTCAGTTGCCTCGAAGCTGATTCGTGCTTGGCTACGGCAAAGGGAAAGACACGTGGCATGCATGGTTCACCACGGCATCTACATTTTATTTACAATAAACTGACGGAACGAAATGTAACGGGTGGAAGGAGCACAGGAAGCGGCGATGAAGGGTGAGGAAGCCTATGTTTCAAT